GCATGATCTGGCAATCCTATTTTTATATTACATATGTAACAGGATTTTTATAGTAACCCATTCAATCAGATGGTTCCTGAATTATTTTATACCTGGGGGGAGGTTGGAATTATATTGCTGTGCACATTTGCTCACATATTATGTTAATAGTTTCAACAAGCCTGCATAAATGTTTCACTTTATTAGTTGGAAGGGAAAGCCCATTTTGCAAATAACAAAAACATGCATAATTTCCAAGAGGGATCTTAGGAGGATAAAGGCATCAAGTTGGCTCACTCTAATTAGGCCAGAAGAAGCAGTAAACCCAAAATTCAGCAGTTTCTGTTCTTGGATCTGCCAAGTCCCAGGGCTTGTGCCAATCTTCAGATGCCGGAGGAACATCTCATCTTGTTTTCATTTTGCTAGTATGTGGGGGTAGGGAGAGTTAGCAGCATTTACACCAAAAAATTACATAGAAGGAATTCATTTAGGCAACTGAAAATGCCCAAGTCTCAAAGAGGCAACTGTCAGCTTTAAAGCAGTTATGAGCTTGCAGACCTTTTCCCCATTTTTGATTTTTCAATTTGTTCCTATGGTAACTCTGAAACAGAAGAAAGTAAAGTGCCAAAAAAAAGTAAAGCTGGAAGCATTGTAAAAATGTTCTTGTTAGGGAAGCTGAAATTAGGATGTGTCAACCACACCTACAGACATTGGGGTCCAAGGGGCCTATAAAAATTATTTCCCATTAATAAAGTTCTGTGAACACAGGTCCCAGACCAGCCTAAAACAGGGACTGCAATCCATTTCTCTTCTCTTAGCAAGGAAACAGACCACTTGCAGCCAATTTACTTGCATCAGTGGAATGAAGTGGTCAGGCTTTTTACTGGCATGTAGTACTTTAGGCTGCAAAGGGAAATTACATGTAGGAATGCTTAACATGTTTGTTTCTTTGTTTGATTACTTCAACTTAAATTGCACCTTCCCATACATTGGTGCCCTAGCTAACAAAATAAAATCTGACATAAAATATGAAATATCATATAAAAACAAACAGATAAAAAGATCAAGAAAGCAGCTAGTAAAAAGCAGCAGCAGCAAATAACATTCACCAGAACAGGAAACTGCTTGTCCCAAGACAACCAGAGGGGGTTGAACAGGTCTTCCTAGGAATGGTGTTCTAGTGCCCAGAGGCAGCCACCGAAAAGGCCCTCTCCTAGGTCCCTGCTCAATGCACTTAAGACAGAGGTGGGACAGAGAGCAAGAGACCCCAAAGATCTTGAAGCACAGGAAAGTTCATACGCGAGAAGACAAATACCAACGTGTCAGGGAGAAAGCTAGGCCATAAAACATGTCAGATTTCAGCAGCTGCAGTGTGGGAGGAACATTCAGATACGCAACCACGCACCTGCAGTTTGAGCATGTACAGTCCAGGGAATGCTTTACCATTTGATTGCTAAGTTTATAAACTCACCCTTTAGCACAGGATTGTAGTAGTACTCATTGTTATGCATTGATTTATTTTCAGAATTGAACAGGAATGTGCAGTGCTTCATCACCCATCTTCTAGTAGAGCCTTACAAAACCTGGTGCCTTCCAGATGTGTTGGGCTACAGCTCCCAGTTTCCCTTACTGAGTGAGATGCCGGGAGTTGTAGTCCCTTGGTGTGAAATCTCAGGTTGGGATGCCAAATCCAACCATCCTGGGTCCCAGTCCAGCCTTCAAGGGTTTCCAGGTGATATAACTGCTTTTTCCTCAGCCACCAGTTGGCAGCTTCATTGCTTTTGCAGTTTTTCCCCATTCTATAAGGTTGAAATGCCTTGCTAAAGTTCAATATTGCATTTTTATTTCTTGTTGCTACCACTAATGCTATTCAGTCCCTGAGAGCTTTCCCAAAATTGAATTTGGCCACAGGTTGCAAGAGGTTTCCCACTCCTGGCAGTTCCCCGTCAACACATCTAGAGGGGGCCTAGACTGAAGATGCCTGAGTGGGATGGAGGAGCCCATTTACTGGCATGCAAGTCAAATTGCTTTGTGTGAGGACTTTTGGCAAGCTCCATTCAAAACAGGCCTATGAATTTGTTGGACAAAAAGTATGTGGGCCTCATGATTGCACCTTTTGCATTATGCTACTGGGTAGCAGAGAGACTTGCTTAATTGTAAATAATGGTTATAGCAACCAGTTACATCTGCTTGTTCAGGCCTTGTTTCTTGATAGAAATCAATCCACCCCGGTGAAGACAAATACTTCACATATGCATCTTTCAGGTATCCAGTGCTGAGCGAGTCAAGTGATGAGAAAGCTTGTATGCAGTAACTCAGCTACACATTGTTGTTGGCACAAACCCCTGAGGTCAACAGAATATATGAGCACCGAATGCCACTGAGTATTTTAAGGCAGCTCATGAATACTTTTAAACTCAAAGGTATATTTATCTTAGTCATAAAGTAAATGGTCTCCATTACCATCTTCAAGGTGCTATTCTGACAGTGGATAAAAGGTCTCTCACTGGTTGGCAGGACAAATGATTGCATTCTGGAGCTGAACTGGAGGGAGGAGGAGGGTTGGTAGTGGTGGTGGTGGTGGTGGTGGTGGTGGTGGTGGTTTGACAGTTTCCTGAATGTTTGATCTATTGGCTTTCCTTTCTGTCAGCACACTGGGGAGGGAATGTTGTGTTCCATTGAGCAGGACAGCATTCTTGTTTTTGGCAAGCAGCACAAAACCCCAAAGTGTAAACACAAAGGACCCTTTTATCTGGTACAAGCAACAGCTCCCTGAAATGCCATCACTTCCCTCGTGTGCTTAGAGGCTTACAGGTGCAGATGTATATGCAGCCCACCTTAGTTGCTACATTTAAAAGATTGTGCTCTATAAATATTATACATGAGGTAGGCTTAAGTGAAATTCATGATTTCATGAAGGGTCAAGTTCTGTTGATAGGACTCTTACTTCCAGTGTTTTTTTTGTAAAAAAAAAAAAAAAAAAAAAGGTGCCCGAACTCACCTCTTGGGGTCAGTCACTCTACACACACATAAACATAATGGTCGCCACCGGCAGTAAGCACTGAGCGCACGACCACATGACCGATCCCAAGCTGAGCAGCATCCCGAGCCAAACAGTGCCCTCCCAAGCAGCGCCGACACACATGCAGCCCGCAGACACTATTTTAATGCTTTTTGCTGCTGACCTGCTACGCCCGACAGGGCGATTCACAATCACATGGAAAAATCCGTCAAAAAAAGGTGCCGGAACACCATTCCGGTGCGTTCTATGACAAAAAAAGCCCTGCTTACTTCTAATGCCGTTTTATTTTCGAGGACTAATATTATGGACCGTCCTACAGACTGCAGGTATGGAACAACATAGGAAGCTGCTTAATACTGAGTCAGACCCTTGGACCATTTGGCCCAGTAGCTTTGACACTGACTGGCAGCACCTCTCCGGGTCCCAGGCAGGCATTTTCCCTACCTTAGCTGGAGATGCCAAGGGTTGAACCCAGCACCTTTAGCATGCAGAACAGTTATCCTCTTACTGAGCTTCAGCCCCTTTGAAGTGCTCCCCTGCAAGGTTTGCTGCTTTTGAAAGCCTGTCACAAGGTTTTGGCAACTTTTTAATGCTTCACCATCTTCAGACTGATGCAGTACAGTCTGTTCTCCTTTTCCTGCCTGCTCATACTAGGTTGAGGGAGGAATTAAGGGCATGCATCCATCCTCCTGAATGTAATTTGTTCAAGTTACCCCTTCTCCAGAGCGCCTCCACCCACCACAGAACCTACTCTCAGACAGTACAGTAGCTGTCATTTCAAATATGTAATTTGAATGCAGTCAGAGGGGCTTGTTAGGAATTGCATGACTTGGATGCCTTCAAGGGGAACAGATCCAAACTGCACTTGATGAATGTGTGAAGGCACAGAAGTAAGGCATGTGGTGCTCTAATTTATAGGAATGCATGGTCTGGTAGAATAGAGAGTGTAAGACAAAGTATTTTATAAAGATCCAGCAGAAGCATGAAACAGTTGGTGAGGAAGTCATAATGTAATTCAAATAGAGCTACTTTCTCTTGAATAAGCAGCATTTTATTTCAGGAGCCGAGCTCTCATTCTGAATAATTACTGTATGTTACAGAAGATTTTAGTGCCAGATACATATTTCATTAGTGGAGTATAGTAACAGTTTGGCTGCAGAAATAATTACTAGCTATAATGGGCCTGTCTCACAGAAGCCACATTCAATTTAAATGCAAGTGACTATGACTGACAATCAATTTCTTCCTAATAAAACTCAATTATTTTCATGCAGACATGTTATGTATGAACTTTTTTTTTCTTCCTGTGTTATTCATGGGCTGTAGTTGACATTTCTGGGTAGTAAGAATGCTCACTTCAAAAGAAAATTACAGTCAGCTCAACAGCAAAACATAAAGCTTCCTTACAATGTTTAGTCCAATCTGAAACCCAATGTTTTGACAGTGCATCTTGGGTCAGATCAGTCATTCTGCACAGATAGTTTTCCCTGAAAGGAAGTCCTATTTTAAAAGATACTGTTTAAAAGCCATTAGACTTTAAAGGCAGGAGGTGATTGTTTATGTGTAACATTAATATGTAGAGGTGTAAGTGACCTGAGCAGCCTTCCTAAGCTGGTGTCTTCCCGATGGCTTGGACTTCAACTCCTTCCAGCCCCAACCAGTATGACCAGTAGCCAGGAATGCTGAGGGTTGTAGTCCAAAACAACTGGCATTCAGCATTGGGGTAGGCGGGACAAGAGCATTAGTTTTAGATTTAGGATGTTCAAATTAAAATCCTATGAATTTTACATGGAAGTCTCTGTCCAGAGGCTTATCCAACAGAATTGTGAAGCAGTTTCTGTGACACCAGAAAACTGTGAATTGCATTTTTGCTCTGGATCATTCAACATTCTTCAGATGATCATCTTGTGTTTCTATCATGATCTGTTGTACTCTATACTCTATATAGAAAAACTGCCCAGGAAAGGCTAGAATTACAGTTATTTTTAATTTATTTCAGGTCACCATAGGTCAACTATATTCAACAGAGAAGCTTGTTATTGAGTGCCCACAAAACATCTAATACTGGGTGAAGACTTATGCAGCAGCAGCAGTGGACCAGCTTCAGTATTCAACAACGCACATAGATTTTCACTTGTCCATACTACATTGTCTACTTATGTTTGAGTGGTCATATTACTTTTTAATGTAATTTAAACTCAACACTGTATATTGGTCTTCACCTAAGCTGCCTAGATTGCCATAGTACATATGCTGTCTACATGCTACTAAAGTGATGCATGTGTTTTGTTGGGTCTTAAGTGTCATTATTTGCTAGTATTATCACATCAGTTTTCTTGACAATAAAATTTCATAAACCAAAGATTGTTGGCTGGCTGGCTTCCATTTACTGACATTAATGTTCTTTCTACCTAGTTTAAAGGTAAAGGCAAAGGTTTCCCCTTGACATTAAGTCCAGTCTTGCCTGACTCTAGGGGGCAGTGCTCATCTCCATTTCCTAGCTGAGGGAGCCAGCGTTTGCCCGCAGACAGTCTCCGTGGTCATGTGGCCAGCATGACTAAACACCAAAGTGCATGGAACGCTGTTACCTGCCCACCGAAGTGGTATCTTTTTATCTACTTACATTTGCATGCTTTCGAACTGCAAGGATGGCAGGAGCTGGAGCAACGGGAACTCACCCCGTTGTGCAGATTCGAACCGGCGACCTTTCAATCAACCAGCCCAGCAGCACAGCGGTATAAACCACTGCGCCACCTGCACTAAAATCACTATTTCTTAATGTGGAAAATGGAGTATATGGGAGGCTCTGAAACACATCAAAATTATTGCAGATAAGCAAGTTAAGATTGCCATCCTTGAGCAGTTTTAATAAATCAAGGTACTGCTTCCCATTTGAGCTTTCCACTATAATACAGCTTTAGACAAAATTTGCAGTTACATTGAGAATATAATTTTGTTGAACTTTGGACAGCATAGCATTTTGTCATCTTTAAAATGAATTAAACATGTATTTCTTCCAGAGCTGTGACCTCTAAAATTAAAGGGCCATTTTTCTTCTAAAAGTGTCTGTTTTCATAGAACTGAAAGATTAGCTGAGTCTTGCACAGTTTGCAAATGTGCAGATCTTCCTTTATTGGGCTATATCAGAATGGTACCTTCAATATTCAGGCTTCTCAGCTCTGTATCAGTCTTATGTGAATCTACAACTCTTCAGCGCACCAAATCACTGAAGTATTGATATATTTACAAAGTAAGAAGTCAAAATGATAAAAGTGAGAGGAGATACATAATTAAGGACACATTAGTTCACACACAGGTATAATATCTTTATTTTGTTCTTGAACAGAAACTTTAACTTAGTTTGTTAACATTTCAAAGGGTTTTTTTTCAGTGTCTCCACAAGGAAGTTCCAGAGAATAATCTCTTACTGGGGCCCCACGTGATTAGATGCCCCCATGTGTCTGTACAGCTGGGGTAGCCATGCTGCATAGGGCTCATGAGAGTTGTAGGCCACACTTAGAATTTCACGCAATAAGCCTCAGTGCTATATAAAAGGGAACAGAAATGAATTTTCACTGATTTACTGATTCTAAATCAGTTTTGTGCCAAAAGATATTCCACCTTCCCTTATACTGCAGTATGTATAAAATACACACATGGAGAACTGAAATAAATGAAGTCTATTATGCTTAAACATTGGTGTGGAATGCAAAGAATCATTGCATATTTACTATAGGAAGACAAAACCTTTGTGCAAAATTCCTTTGTGCAAAATGCCCAAGTGCATGTATATTCCACATTATGGAAAAAGGGGGAAATACGAACTGGAGGCCTCTGTTATCAAAAGGTTAAATAGGTACAGTTAGATTTGTAACCCTAACAGATATGTAACCCTAACAAAACATGTTAGTCACATCTTGTAAGAAGTAGTTCTTTCTCTTGGAGTAGAGGCCTACAAGTTGCATGAGAGGGGTTACATAATTTCACTGTAAGTACACTGTGTCTGTAGATGTCTAGTATTCCAGTGCATTATATTTTTATTTAGTATGTATGCTTTGTTTTCAGCAGTCAACACTTTGTTTCCTTTAGATGTATTTCCTTAACTTTAAATAGCTAAAATTTGATTTTCTTGCACAGAAATAAAGAATATTTTTCTTTGTTTATACCAACGAGGAATATTCCAGAGAGCACTTCATGGCTAGTTTACAAATTGCTTAGCATCTCATAAAGGCAGAAGTTTCTTAATTAAAGAAAGCAAAGGGGCAGAAGGAAGCGCTTCAAAAAATGTTGCTCCTCACATAATCCCCTTATCAAGTTTAAGCTTAAGTGCTATGCACCAACATTCTGTTGTTTGCGATTTTGAAGTTCAAATGAGCTCTGCAGAACAAAATCCAAACAATATCCTGAAATTTAACAAAACTTTCAAACCTTTCTAGTAGTTGTAGTGGCCATGTATCCTACCTTACAGAGGACAATGCTCTATTAGAAGGGATGTCAAAAGTTCCCTAAAGTTGAAGGGCGGTCAGTCCAAGCTAAGTTTAACATAAGCGGCTGCAGAAATAGGACTACTATGCATTTGGCAGGCATCAGCACCAGGCTTCTTCAGCTATTTTAACAGGTGATTTTAATGATAATTTAGTTTTTAACATGACTCTGGTTTATAATTTTATTTTAGTTTATTTTTTAAAATAGACAAGCAACCATAAATATAATGTAATGATCTTAATTTTTGGGATGTGTTTTTGAATTATGTTTTGTACATGTTTTTAGTATTATTGATTTTAAAATATTGTTTTAATTGCTGTAAGCCACACAGGGAGTCCAATTATGGGCTATGGTAGCAGCACAGAAATTGAAATAAATTCATACATACCTGGCCATCAGACTGCAGCAAGCTTGGACTGTCACAACTTCTACAAGCTTCTACTATTTAAAACATTCCCAGAATTTTATAGCATGGCTTCAAGAATCCATGCAAGCATTTCACATTAACACTGCATACAATTCATGTACACAGAAGCACCTCCAGAATGCATCCACAGAAACAGCTCTTGATAGCCACAGGTTGCTTTTCCCCATAGGCAAGTGTATTGAAATGTAATTAGAAGCAACAAATCAATCTAGGGTAAGAACCGTGTATGATGGTGAGGGCCAGCCATTCATCAGACAGAACGATGGATTTGCTGATGACCTATAAGCCCCCATCAAGTGGTAACTACAAGCAATAGTTTCAAACAACCAAATGGTGCTGTGGCATCTTTCCACACTCTTTAGATTGACACAGATTATCCTTAAGGCAGAAGACCCTGCCTTCACAGCCTTTTAAAGGCTGTTTCTATACAACAGCAGAAGCAACACTTGCATACTTGGCCACCTCCGGAAAAGAAACCAGAAACCAGTCTGACTTGTTCTACTTTGCTTATGCTGCTGCCTTTTGGAGAATGGAAAGTGGCACAGAAAGCCATACTGAACACAAAGTTAGAGGGCCATTGCCAGATCACATAGTCTTGAATGTAGCAGAGTTTCCAAGCTGCTTGCATAGGAAGCATGGCCATTGTTAGATTACAGCTGGTGGGTTCCGCTGTCTTTAAATACATTTAAGAATAACCCCATCAAGATCCATGGAACTTATATTAGTCCTACCTGTCTCATGGATTTCAAGGGATCTGTTCCACATATGACCAACTCTGGATTCAACCCACTAAATATGTATCAAAACCCACCTCCATCAAAAGTGAAAACCAAAGCTATTCTATTCTATTCTATTTATTTATATCTAACCTGTTTTTTTAAGTAGTCAAAGCAAGTTACATGATCTCAGTCTTATCCCCACAACATCAACCCTGTGAGGTAGTTGGGCTGAGAGCCTGTGACTGGCCCAAAGTCACCCAGTTGGCTCTATGGCTTGCCTCTTTGTTCCTAATCATATCTCAATATTCACCTCGACCTTTCCCATTGTGAACCAACATTTTGAAAAACAGGGATACCAAAGCAAAGTGACAATGAACCTGCATCAGACTTCACAAAGCTGCAGTTGGCTACTTGTTGCAGCAACCTACAACCATGAGACAACAGGGCTTAAAGAGAGGAGTAATCCCAAAAGCAAAGTGTCTCTGCCATTATTCTTCTTCTAAGAGTCAACACACATCTTGATTCAACTCACCTTTAGTTCCATTCATCTGAAATACACTCCTACTTGAAAGGGAGGAACATGATGAAGGTAGATGGTTATTTCTCCTTAGGCATAGCCATGTTTTTGATCCTTGTTCCAAGTGCTGGAAATAACAAAGTGCTCTCATGATAACTGTAACCTTTTCTGTTAAGTGCCATGCCTGGTTTATATCTTTATACTATACCAATGATTCCCCAAAGTGTGGCTTCAGTGTTATTTGGTTAATCAATAAGAAACAAGATGCCCACAACGTGCCATTTAAATGACAGGGATGCAGGGCCCCTGCCCTATAGGCCTAGTTTGACCCTAAAGGCTCTCCAGCCTGGCCCACAGAGCCTCCTACAAGTCCTGCCCCATGGAGGAATTCTCCCTGGAAGAAATCCCCACTGTAACCATCATGCTGCTGCCCCTACCATTATAAGATTTATAAGATGCACTCTTCTTTCAGGGCCAAAATAGCCAAGCAGCGGATGGCTGAATGTCAGTATTTATCTTTTTGTAAGGAAAAAAAAATCAGCTACTGGCATCCCACACTAATATGTTTTTAACTTAGGGGAAAGAGCAGCTTTAAGGGAGCAGATTTCATCAGGAAAAGTGTGTGAGTTAAAGATTTAAGCATGCCCAGATTATGTTCCAATCAGGATGGAGCAGTCCCATGCCTGCCCATATATTTTTAAAACACAGGACAGAAATAGCACGTTTCTTGTTCACATCTGGTTCAATCCTTATATAGAATTTCTCTATATTAACACTTGCTACAAGGTATTGTGTATTTGCACCACCAAAAAAGGTTCATAACTATCACTTTTTGCCCATGTTCAAGTTCTGACTGGATTTTGCAAGGTAAGACAAAAAAAAGAGAGACTGGAAAAGTCATTAGTAGAAGACATCTGGATCACCCATAACATTCCATGAATTTGGAAGAAGGATGGCATGATTTAAGCCTCATCTGCAAACAGTCCTTGTCGATACAATGCTTCAAGGATGGGACAACCATGGGCACATTGCTATACCCCTTTGCTCCCTTTCATTCACTTCTAAGCACTTAAGGGAAATGATCAACTTCAAAGTGAAGCTAGTTATTTAAATAAGTATTTTGACCACCTGTAGCAATTTCTACAAGTGGGACAGACATTTGTGCACAGAACCAGACTCAGGCATACTTAGTATAGGTGCAATGAAATCACTGGGACTTCAGACATGACTAAGCTAAGTCCCATTCATGTCAATACATCTATTCCAAATGTGATTGAAACCAGATCCAACCCAGATAAAGCAATCCTATGGCCTCTAGATGTTGTCTGAGTGATGACATGATTGTGGGGTTGGACAGTGCTCCAACTTTGGAAGGGGGAGTCAGATCCAACCCCCCCCCCCCCTCCATCCACCTGCAGTCAGCATGGAAACCACTACACTGGCTGAACACCAAGACTGAAAAATAAACCTCAGAGAGGATGAAGGGGAGGCATTCTGGTGGGCAGGGAAGTGAGAAGGATGCTCAGGATGCAAACTATCTCAAGCCTCTTTCAGCCTCCTGCCTTTTCCTTTCCAGAATGCCTTCACTAGACAAGCAGAATAAGCTTGTCTAGTGAAAAATGCAGTGACTGGAGGATGCAGAGGCAAGGAGGCTCCCCTGCTCCTCCCGCTATCCTGGCTTCAGTCCAGGAGAGCACTAGATACTTAGAAGACTCCATGTTCAAAGGCTTCTGTCTTGCAACCCATGGAACTGTGCCTAAAGGCATTGTTCTATTCAAGTTTTCCACCTGCATCAGCCTTTCCCACCCAACCTGATACACTCCAGATGTTTTAGACTGAAATTGCCAATAATTCTGATCTGGCCATGCTTGCTGGAGCTGGCAGGAAATGCAAACTAAATCACCTGGAGAGCACTATATGCGGGGAAAGGCTGGTCTAGAAGCCTGTGAAATCTCTTCCTGGGTTTGATCCAAACTGAAATCTAGAGTAGGCTCACCAATGGGTAAAGTTGGGGATAATTTCTACCAATTCCCCTTCCCCTGAAGTCTCCCATACTGCCTCTCGTGCTGCTTTGAAAAGTCCCCCAACCTCTGGAACAAAGAGTGACAATATGCTAATTCAACCACACACCCATCTCCAGCAGTCATAAGCCTTGATCCATTGCAGACCTAGTACATATGAAAAGTGAGAAGCAAACTCTGCCAGTGCTAAAGCAAGACTTCTTCTGCCAAAGAAGCATTAAACGTGAACTTGTGTTCAGTTCTTTATCAACAACATTACCACACTTCAGAAAAGGAAATATGCTTTTAGATTCAGATGTACTGTTAATAAATAGAAATTATATGCCATTGTAGTCTGAATCAAGGAGACCTGCCAGAAGAAAAAGAAGCACTTCTGCACTGGTAATTGCAGTTCTGATTCCTGCCATTTCAACTATTTTCATCTCCATATCAAGAACTGCTATAGAATGGATCCTAAACTTTGTTGTGTTTCTTTCTAGTCCTTTAAAGCAAAAGCAAATTAAAGCAAACAGAGCCCTTATTCAAGTCCTAAAACAAATATTTGAGGTTGCCAACCCAAAGAGTATTAAAGGCTGTAGCACTTGGAATCACCAGCCCCTCCTCTTCACTACAACTTTTTCCCCATTTACATACAATTCTGTTAAGACACACACACAAAGATTATATTGCAGACAAAAGCTGTTGTGGTTGGATGTAGCAAACAGGCAGCCTCATTAACTCAGAGGAAAAGGCATTTTTATTCATAAAAGTTTACAGTATTTGCTTATGAAAGCAACTGAGGAAATTCCTACAGTGCAGCTAAAGAAAAATCCTCACCCAGCCCAACCCTTCTACATATTCCTGTATCAAGGCACAGAACAGAGGCATGTTGGACATTCCTTAGGAAGAAGGCAATCAGACACAGCATTAAGACCATACATTTTGCATGCGCTAGAGGCTTCATGACAATCAATTAGTATTCTCTGAATACTGCTGCAACACAATCATTCACAGCAACTACAGGAAGAATTCTCTATAATTTTGCCAAAGCCAGTTCTTACCTGTTTTGCCATTAGTACACAGCATGCTAAGAATTTTCACTGTGTCTGCTGTGAATGATCTCACACGTTTAGCTTAGGCATACCATCAACTGTCATTGTTCACTCCTCTAAATAATCCAGACAAGAGCTAAACTTTTCATTCACCTCATGGAAGAAAAGAAACAACTAATGTGTTCCTTACAATTACTCATATACTCCTCTTTCTCCTCCTGCAAGGGACCAATGGCAGCTGCCTCTTCCATCCTCCTCTAATTAAAATAAAAATGCAGTGAAGAAACTGCACCAGTTAGCTTGTGCACTCTAGTTGGCAAGCAGTCAAGCTCTGGCTAACTTTACATTCCCCAAAACACCTATTCAAACCATAGATACTGAACAAGTTCTGTTATTGCATCTGCTACACTGGGCACACACCTCCCTCTTTTGCCCGTTCTCCCAGGTTCAGGTATAGAAACCTCATACTATGGAAAGATAAAATTGGCATCTTCTGAAATGTCAGGATCTTTACCACTTAAGGTAGTAACTGCAACACAGCTTCCATGGAACACATTATGACTCATGGCTTGCTATTTGGCAGAATATCCTTTTTTATCCAAACAAAATTAATAGGTGGCACTAAGAACTTCAACATACTTGTGCTTGCTTATTCAGTTGTTGCATTATTTAAAATATTTGAAAATTAATTTTAGAAAATGGAAGGGTTTTTGAGCATTTACAATAGTCTTTAAAAAGTGACCAAGATGAATTTTTTCTGTGTTTTGGAAAATGGAAGTCCTCTGGCTGGAGGACACTAGCTTTAAAGAGCACTGCAAGACAATATTCCCCTTGGTGTGCAAACCCTCTCTCTCACACTGTCTCTCATTTCTTTGTCCCTCTGCCTTTGTAAGAAAGAAGACTTCAACTACATTTTAACTTTTGTCCCAAACAGTTTTTCAGCTGCAGAGTCCAAGGTTATAGTACAATTTACTGTCAACCTATCTGTGCGTCAAAAACAAACAGTCATTTAACCCTTTAAGAACATGTTTCCAAATCTCCAAAGTTCTTCTTTTTTGAAAAGAACATTAAGTCCAGAAGGATCACATTCTACATACTTGATACATAACTGAGCAGCAAGACTATTCTAGACTGAAGAAGGGCAGTCAGTGTTTGCCATGCCTCTGATTCAGAAATGTAAGCTTGCTAACCACATGCTTGGAAGCCATGCCTAGCCAAAGCTTGTAAACTCATGTTTACAAACCTTGAAACATTATGGTGCTGACTGTATGCCCACACAATGGTCATGCTTCAAACACCATTCTGCTGGCTATGCTGAGCAGCCCCATCTCTTGGAAATATGTACGGGTGATGCAAGCTACAAGATGATGCCCCTAAAAGATGCAAGCTCCACAACATATAGCAGAACAGCTAGAACTAAATAACCATGCATGGCTTCATAAAGTTTATTCTTGCTCACCTCTCCCTTCACCTTCTGTGTGGCTATGCCTAGTAACACAGTGCCTATCAGAATTATTCATGTTACTGAAGAATGTCACACCTGTAGTCATTTGCAGTAGTTGTACTTTCTCTTACAAAGGTGTCAACTTATTTCAGGTGAAGACAGACCTGGGCCATGGAATTAATTTCTAAGAATTCCAAAAAGGAAGTCTCCAACATGCTTGTTTCAGTAAGTCAATACTGTAAGAAAACACAAATATCTGCATTTTCCATGATTCAGAAAATAAGGCCCCCTAATGCAAAGTGATTAGTAGATCAGATGGAAAATCACACGCCACATGGGCAGATACATCCCAATGCCTCCAGTTAAATGTAATACCTTTAATTAAGTCAACTTAAAGTTCACTAAAATGTGCACACCTGCATAGTTTGTGACCTTTGGAGTTGACTTAAGATTTTCCACTATTTTTTCCCTAAGGCAAACACAAGTACCTTTGCTTTTTGCATGACTATTAAACTGGTCACTGAATTTAAGCACCTTGTTTCCCAGAAGGATTTCTCTTACTAAAAGAGCTGGGTGATGGTAAAATTACTGCCATATTAATAAACCGCTTGGGAATCTTGAAAATAAATTAAACTTCAATGTAAAGGAGAGCCCAAATAGGGATATCCACCAAGCTAGAGGAGGAACACCCAGGTGGAAAGGATTCACTAAAAATGATAGAAGGGTATCTGCTTTGTGAATGAGCACTGTCATAGTATGTCATCTTAAAGTAAGAACTCCAAGGAGGGGAACTCCCAGAACACTGACTGAACTCACATTTTAAAGCACCAAATCACCAATCTACACAAACCAATGAAAATCCATGTGACAGCTATGTATCTGGTAACCCAACTAAAGATTCAAAACAAGAAAAGAATGATGCTTATGGATCTCACTGCTCAGGGACAGCTAGATATATTCATCCAAGTATCAGCTTTTGCATGCTTGAAAGCTTCATATATTTTGTGTATGCATGTGTACAGAGATCTGTAGGAGTTGGCCAAAAAATTAATGCAGTGTGCTGGTAACAGTAGCTGCAATACATGCAGGAAGCCAGCACAGACAGGGTGTCCAAAAGCAAAGGAGGTCAGGGCTCTTGTAGTGCAGCATTTCTGCAAAAGAAGGGATTTTAACAGGAAAACCAATGTCACTTAAAATCTCCTCTTCTTTACACAGCTCTGGCAAGTTCTAGGTTCCCTGTCTTCCATTCCATATGGTCATTCTAGAATGCAGAAAATTGTCAACTCGAAGTGTACACAAAGAACACAACTTTTTCACAGCTGAAAGCTCATGTGTACTTGGTTTTAGTAGTTCTTAAATACTTGTCTATAACTGGAGCAGAAATTAAAATCCTCAGTGCAAACAAAACAAAATACAGGTACAGATAAAGTTCCTTAAAAACAGCATTTCCTCAACCCTGTCCGATTCCCAACATACCTCTTTATCTCTTCTACAAAATGAGAGTAAGCACTTCTTCCTTAGTGTCTTTATTCCTCCTCACTGCATTCAGAATATTAACTACAATTCTATCTTAGCGAAAAGAACCTTCACTCAAAAGGCACAGTGTTCAGCTTGGGGGTGGAGAGAAGACAAACCACTTAAAGGAAAAAAATAAACAACATGAACAGCTCTATTGGCCCAGAGTGAGTTCGGTAGTTGTGCTACATTCTTCTAGGCTCTTTAGAAGCCATTTCCTATAAAGGAATAATAGAAGGCACCAATCAGAAATGGCTTTTCATTTTTTCAGGCTTTCAAACCTATGGCGACAGGAACAATAACGTCGATGCATTTCCCCTCTCCAGAGAGAGACCAATATATCCCACCCCGCCAAAATTACAAAAAGGTGGGGAGAATCAGGCACTGTCACAGCCCCAGAAGTCTATATCCGTCACCCAATTATAGCTACCAGGTTCCAGGCAGTAACTGTTTGGCTGGACAAAACGCGAGTGACGCGCAGATTGGCTTGCAACAGTAGATACGGCTTGCTCCAAGGGCGGGCCACAATTCACACACTTTCTTTTCTCTCGGTTCCCAGTGCGGATGGACGGCTCTGTTTCTTTGAGGCCCACACTGCATGCTAGGCTGGCTGCAATAAGGCTAAAGTGCAAAGGCACGGAGGGCTACCTGATCCACTCCAAAGCTTAGGCTTCTGAGAGGAGAAAAGGCACGTAGGCAGGCTGGGCGCTCCGGGATGCGGCAGGGCTCTGTGTTAACCGGGCTGAATAATGAATGCGAGGCAGGCACTGCTGGCTTTTAGGCCGGAACAGGTCGAGGCTATCCAGGAGCTGCCGCCGTCCGACTCAGTAATACGAAGAGGTTGCAGAGTCCTCCGGGGTACATCCGCGAAGGGTGTAGTTATCGCCGCCGTTGTTATCCCAGTATTCACCCTGCTGGCTGCGGTAGCAGATGGCGAAATGCACGGCCGTCCCATCGGGCAGACTGGGAGGAAGGCACAGAATGAACTGGTAGCGCTCAACTGGGCTGGAGGGGTCCGCGGGGTTCCCTTCCGCCGGCAGCACAACGGCGCGGCTGTCTAGGAAGGAGAGCCACTCGTTGAAAGTGTAGCGCACCGTCACCTCCTTGGGGCCAGGGCAGCTCAGCACCCTCACCACGCCGCGAATGTCTGTGGGTACCCCGGCCAGAGCTGTCCCCGCCGCCTCCTCCAGGCACACGCGCTCCCGCTCCAGCCGCTCCAAGTCCAGAGACTTGCCGGTCCCCTCGAGCTGTAGGGCCTGAGCCGCTACCTGTGGCGGCGAGCGAGCAAACGAAGGCGCCGCGCAACCGCCCAGCTCCGCCAGGGCGGCGCTGAACTCCTCGAAGTCCTTCTGGCGCATGGGAAAGCTCTGCAGGCGGGAGAGGACGGCGGGCGGGACCTGCGGCTCCTCGGCGGCGCTGAAGTGCTTGACGCTGGCCAGGCACAAGCCCAGCGAGTCGGCGAACTGCACCCGCTTCTTGCACTTGGTGCAGCAGTCGCTGACGTCCGCTCCGGACGCCCCGTCGTCGTCCCCCTCATCGCCGTCACCCTGGAGTCTCCCCCGAGGGAAAAGCCGCGCCGCAGCCAAAGTCGGGCTGGCGGGCAGGGAGAGTGAGCGCCCGCGGCGACGGCGCAACTCCAACAGCGCTTCCTCGTCCCTCTCCCACGGCTGCTGCCGCTCAACATGGTCGCCTGTCGCCGCCGCCTCTTCTTCGTCCCCTCGCCATGGTGGCACTGAGGCAACCTCTTCCTGCTGCTGGTGCTCCCCGAAAGGAGCTAAAAGTTGCCCCAAGCCCAATACCGCGGCGCTGCGGCTCTCCATAGCATGACGCCACCGCGACGCCTCAACTCCCGCTCGCTAGCCGCGGAAAGTCCGGCGCTAACCCTTCCTTCTTGTCTCCATTCGCAGCTGCTATAGTCGGAGGGTCTCTGCTTTCTTTCAAAGCAGGGTCATTTTATCGCACTGTGCAGCCGCTAGCAGAAACCTCTTGCGCACTGAGTGGAAGGGGCGCGCCCCCTTTCCCTGCCTTCTCACCCTCCCCCGGGGAAGAATGGGGCGGGCCCGGACCTCCCACAAAAGACATTTGCCACAGGCTAAAAGGCACGTAGCTGCTTCTCCCCGTCTCTCTCTCGAAACGGGAAGAGCGTGCGGGCGCCTGCACCGCTCGCCAGGGTCGCGGGTGGAGGGCTGTGGAATGCTGGAGGGGGGCTGCCCTTGGGAGCGCGCTGCCTACCCGCGCCGAGCTGCAGCGCCTTCCGCGCAGGAGGCGTGGCCTCGCCACGCCCACCAGCAGCTCCCCCCGCGAGTGGCGTCACAAGAGCTGCACTTACGGGTTGGGGGGCGTGTTAGGCTTTACACACTCGGAGGGAGGAAACGGGATGTGCGAGACAGCCCTTTTCACCACAGGAAGCTCTTCCTGACTCAACTCTTCGTTCCCCCCTCCTCCTTTTACTCTCTCTCGCTCTCTCTGTTTTGGTAAGCTGGAATCTTCACTAGACTACTCTTGGGTGAGACCGCCAGGTTTAAGGTGGCAATCCTGGATGCATTTTGCCTGGGGTAAGGCCAGTTGACCATAGTGGACATTTTTCTCAAAATACATGCATCGGATGGTACTTATAGGTGGCTTAATGACTTATAGCTACACACGACAAAGCAAGCCAGAGCAGTTTGAAATCTATAAAAAGAGAGGTGCTAAGCTCAGTTATTCAAAAACCATTATCTCTAGTCTCATGCTTTATCAGCCAAAGTATGTTAGAGATTCCAGTCTAGTAACATATGGCCGATTCACCCATTACTTCATCGGTATGTCCAGAAACAGTCCGCGCCATCTTGGCACATGATCACACAGACAAGTGTAACCTGGACCAGCCTTTGGCAACCTGAGCCTACCAAAATGTATTGGACTTCAACTCTTGTCATCCCCAGTCAGCAAAGTTAGGAATTCTGGGAGCTGTAATCCAAAACAGCTGGAGATTACTAGGTTTGGGAAGGTCAGTGCAGACAATAACATATCTGAGTACTTCCACATAAAGAACCAGTACTTTCAAACTAAAGGCACTGTGCAGTTCAATCTTTTCCTCTTTAAGTGTGAGGAAAAGAGAGTGTGAGGAAGAGAGAGAATTCATCTGGGCCCCCCATAAAATTCCATATTTCGGCAGGGGGAATTGCTCCATAAGCATTTGTGATGGGACTGCCACAGCTTCTCTAGATCCTCTCCATGATGGCATGCCCACATGCTTCAGTGAACTATTCCTTAGTGGTACATTTAAGACACTTGGCACATTCTCAGGAACACTGTATTTGTATTTCAGATATTCTTTGAACAGCAACTTTCACAGAATCACATAATAGTACAATTGGAAGTGGCCAGAAGGCCATCAGGTCCAACCCCTGCTCAGTGCAGGACTCCAAGTTAAGCCATCCCTCTCAAATGGCTGTCCAGCTGCACCTTGAGTGCCTCTTGTGTGAAACAACCCACAATATCCTGGGGTAATTGGTTCCATTGTCATATTACTCTAGCAGTCAAGAAATTTTTCCTGATGTTGAACAGGACTCTGGTTAGCTGTAACTTGAGCCTATTTTTCTGTGTCCTGCACTCTGGGATGATCAAGAAGAGATCCTCTCCTTCCTCTTTGTGACAGCCTTTCAAGTACTTGCATATCTCACCTCAGTCTTTTCTTCTTAAGGCTAAACATGCCCAGTTCTCAAGGCAAAACATGTCCTTACAGGGCTTTGTCTCCAGTCCCTGAATCACCTTTGTTGCCTCCCTGTGAACCCTTTCCAGCTTGTCTGCATTTTTCTTAAACTATGGTGCCCAGAACTGGACACAGGACTCTAGTTGAGGCCAACTAGTGCTGAGTAACGGAGAGCTAGTACTTCATGGGAATTAGAAATATTTCTATTAAAGCAACTTAAAATAGCATTTGCCCTTTTTGCAACCACACCACATTGCTGACTCATATTCAGTTTGTGATCTACAACAAATCCAAGATCCTTCTCATTTGTAGTATTGTTGAGCCAATCTTGGGTTTGGTTTTTCTTAGCTGCACAACTTGGCATTTGTCTTGACTGAATTTCATTGTGCTGTTCTCAGCTTAGTACTCCAACCTATCAAGATCACCTTGAATCTTCTTTCTGTCTTCCAGGGTATTAGCTATACCATCCAGTTCTATATCATCTACAAATCTGATAATCATTCCCTGCACTTCCTTATCCAAATGATTAATAAAAATGTTGAAGAGCACTGCACCCAGGTCTGACAGAACCCTGTGGTACTCACTTGTTCCCTCTCCCAGGTTTGAGGAAGTGCCGTTGATGAACACTCTTGGATTCTGATTCAGTAGCTGGATCCACCTGATAGTTGTTCCATCTAGCCCACCTTTAGCTAGTCTGCTAATCAGGATATCACGGGACACTTTGTCAATAGCTTTAGTATTGTACACTGTCCTGGGGCTTGTTGAAAAGGATGATATAGAAATGTTTAAATTCAATTAAATTACTAAGTCAAAATATACTATGTCCACAGCATTACCACAGTCTATTAGGGAGGTTACCCAATCAAAAAATGAACTCAGATAAGTATGGCAGGATTTGTTCTTGAGGAATCTATGCTGATTTATAGTAATCTCTGCAAAGTGTTCAAGATGTTTGCAGACTGACTGCTTTATACTCTGCTCCAGAATTTTCCCAGGGATTAACATCATACTGACTGGTCTATAGTTCCCAGGTTCTTTTCTTTTTTTCCCCCTTTCTTGAAGATAGGGACAACATTAGGCCTTCTCCAGTCATCTGGCACTTCCCCTGTCCACCATGCTTTCTCAAAGATAATAAGACTGAGAGTTCTTCTGCCAGCTCCTTTATGCCTCTAGGATGAGTTCATTGAGCCCAGGACAAAGCCAGTTAAGATGAACCTTGACCATTTGCCTATCAATCTTGAGCTGCCTCTTTTCTCTTTCAGCTTGTACTTCCCTTCAGCAGGAAGGTCATAGATCTTTTGGGAGAAGACTGAAATGAAGTAGGAATTCAACACTTCTGCCTTTTGTCATCTGCAATCATTTTGCCATCCACATTGAATAGTTGAACCCTCAGTTCTTTCCTCTGTCTTTTACTTTGCACATATTTAAAGACAGCTTTTTTGTTGATTTTAGCATTCTCTGCTAGCCTCAATTCATTCCTGGTTTTAGCCTTCCAGACATCGCTGACATTACATGCTACCTGCCTGTATTCTTCCTTTGCAGCCTGGCCTTCATTCTACTTTCTGTACATGTCCTTTCTTCATTTTCAGATCATCCCTAAGTTTTCTGTGACACTTCTTCTGTTGACTTCTACCCCTTTTCCTTGTTGGAATTATTGCAATTGTGCCTTTTGAATTTCCTCATTTTAAAAACACTGTCACCCATCTTGGACTCCTTTTCTCATTAGAGTTGTTTACCATAGGACTTTACTTGTTGTTGTTCTAAATTTATTAAACTTGGCTTTTTTGAAATCCAGAGTACATGTTTGGCTACATTTGGCTTTTGGCTCCTTTAGAATCAAGAATTCAACTATGGCACGGTCACTTTCCCCAGAGTTCCCATAGATGCCACTTTGGTTGGCATCTTGTTCCTTCTTCCATTTTCTGTTGCAGGAAGTTAGGAGCAACATATGTTAGAGGTCTCTTGGAAGGGCCCTGTGTTTTGCAGAATTTGTCACCAACAGATATTGGGGAAATTGAAGCCCCCCTTAACATCAGCATTGTGCCTCCTTGAAATTCTGGCAATTTGCTTTTCAAAAATTTCCTCCTCATCTTCTCCCTGACTGGGTGGTTGATAATACCTCCAAACACTATTTTCCTTTTATTCCTAGCTCCATTTATATCAGTCCAGATGCTCTTGATGGGGCTACTAAGTGCATCCTCCTGCATTTGTGTGCAGAGATATCCATCTTTAACATACAGTGTGATTCCACCTCCCTTTTTTTCCTTCCGTTCTTCTTGAACAGGTTCTATCCTTCAGTTGTTGAATTCCCTCATGGGAGTCATCCCACCAAGAGTCATTTATACCTATCAGGTCATATTCATCATCCTGTTTTAAAAATTCAAGTTCATGCTGCTTGTTTCCCATACTCCAGGCATTAGTATATGGACATTGAAAACCATGTGCTTTATACTCTAGCTTTCTTCCTACATTATTTGGAAGACTATTATTGGGCACTGTTAGAGCTGTTCTCTCTGTTGTGCAGCACAAGCCTTTGCTGTTACATCCACATATTCAGTTTAAAGCCCTCCTGGTAAACTTCTTAACGCTCTGGCCAAACACATTCTTTCCAGTCCTTGTAACATGCAACCCATCTCTCAGTGTGTTATGTGGACTGCTCTAGGGGCTCCCATCACTAACCAAGTGGCCCTGTTCTGTACCAATTGTAATTGTCAGAACGACTTCAAGGGTCTTACAGTTCTTCTAGAGCAGGCTTCCTTCCAGGCTCACCCTTGAGTAACTGAAAGCAGTTCAAGAATTCTACTGTTTCCACCGGTGCAGAGTGCCTTCTAGCACCTATTACTCCTTTGCAGGGAGTTTGTCTCATTTTCCCTTCTCTCTGGAGTATCTTCTGCCTCAACCTGCTGTTGCACTTCTAGCTTCTGTACTGTCCTCAGCTATTGCAGTTCCGCCACTCTGTTTAAGAATTCATATCCTTTTATTACCTCAAAGGTAGACAGTTGCTGCTGTAGTGTTCCCACCTTTTCTTCTAACAGGGCTACTAGCTTGCCCTTGTTGCACATGTAGACCATGTTGTCCTCAGGCAGGAAAATGAACATTGCACAGACTCCACCACTGAGGAGTCTTCTCTGTCCATTCTTTCCACTACCTTTTTGATTCTACCTTGTTGGACCTTTTGTAACAACCAGTACTATCTCCAGTCATCCCTGAAGATCAACAAAGCCATCCTAGCACTAAATGGGAGTGTGTTACAAGGAAAAAAACAAAGAGGAGGGAAACTAGGAGGGGGAGGAAGAAGAAGGCATTAGGGACCTCCGCCTTGACCTCCCCCACTTATTTCTGCTGCCCAACTGCTGTTTGCTTTCCCTGTACACTTGTTCTAATCATTCTCTTCAAGGGAGCTTGGCTGCTTGTATCCCAAAGTCCCTAGACCAGCTGGGGCAGCTTC